ATAGTCGATCATTCACGCCTCATCGCCACTGATGTGAACGAATGCTTACAGGAATTTTATGTACAAAGAATGTAGAATGTATGAGTTGTTGACACAATTTATTGTGAGTTTCTCGAGACACGAATTCTCGGAGAGATAACTATTGCTGCATGGGAGTATTCTTTGGCCTACCTCGAAAAATGAAGGCGATAAAAGGACGTACAGAACCTCTAGACATCGATCCATGTCAATGGGTACGGCTCTTCTTAAAGTTTTTAGTCAAAAACCGCTACTGACTTTGGAAGAAAAACCACGAAATTTTCCCGTTTAAAAGATAAAAGTATGACAAGGAGTTTACAACGTTGCAATCGGTATAGTTTTTTTTTTACCACGGACGTTTCTTATGAATCCAAAATTTTCCTTCAGATTATCGAAATATCCTAATATATTCTATCTAGTTCAGAGCGTGCACTAGTTTCAAAATGTGTGATTCTTATGGCAGGTTCTTAATTTTTCCGGCCACAAAATTCTAGCAGGGTAAAAAATTTAGGGTCTCAAAATTGACACAAACTATGTTCTTCATGCATCGATATGATGTCCAGTTGGGCAACATTTTCTTGATGTTTCTAATTTTTTAAACAAGCGCAGACTCAATCGCGCGCCGCTGAGAGCAGAAGAGGCGTAAGATTACACTCCAGATACATAAGATCAATTAGGGCCGAACATAGAGGCCAAATCATCATCAGACCTTCATTTGCTTACGCGCATAAATGATAGGAAATTAAGGAAAATTCCCTAAAATTGACAACGACGGAGGTAGAGTTTGTTTCAATAAAAATAATTTTACCTCAATTTAAAGGAAATATTTTCCACCACTTTTTCAGTGAATTCCCCTAAATGTTAAAATGCTTTTGATCAAAATCGCGTCAATTGAATTCTCCGATGTGATATTCACAAAGCTCCCAGAAAATTCGTGTTTTATCAAAGAAAATCTGACAACGTCGTGAGGCCCAAGTGGCGTTCTTTCTCAGCGCGGCAGGATTGCAATTTTTCATGAAAAACCTTGAAATTTCATGTGAAAAATTTCACGAGATTTCAGAAAAATATGATAGATATTGAAAAGTATATTTCGAAATCGAATGCAAAATTAAATAAAAGGCACAAGGTTTCTGCTTTTTGGTATTTTATAGTGCGTGTAACATACCCAGCCCCTGAAAAAATGTGCAACTCCGCAGCACAGGAGTTCCGTAATCAACTAAAGAGGAAACTATGTTGTAGCATACTGCACAATTTTTCTAACACTTTATCGGCACTATAATCACTTTTTTTAATACATATTAAATTTGTTCACAAACCAGTTATACTTAATATAATCGGTTAAATCGGTATGATCGGTATAATCGGTTTTTGAATTTGTTTTAATTTGTATAGAATAAAGAGGAAACGGCAACACCGCGCTCCGGAGCAGGACTCTGGATCCGATCGGTGTAATTGCAGAAGCCGGAATGGGAGCTGCGTAACGGGACCGGCCACAATTAAAGGGGGGACTGGCGGGGCGGGGAAAGGGGAGGGGGTGAAGCCCTGAAAGTGATCGCGGCGTGAAAGCAGAGCGAAAGAGTTACAGGGTCACGAAAACGGGCCCGGGACCCGGGCCTATTGAAACGCCATCAAGGCATCAAGGCCGACGCACAAAAAAAAGCGTCGAATACAAAGAAAGTTGAGGGGAAAAGTGTCCAGTGCATCGGGACCCACCGCGGGGTTGCCGCAGAGACGTAGAGGAAAATTAACCGGGAGTTCCGGCTGGGAAACCTGTGGGAAAGTGTGTGGGGACTCATACATATGAGAAAGAGCATACACTGAGAAAATAACTCCGGCCGTGGAAGCCGTGCTTACGGGCTAGCTATATTGGACTGCATTTAGCAATTTGGACCTATAAATTCTGGCGTTTCTGAAAAAACATTTATGTGCATAGGGAAACTAGTGGCACATACGACACACACGTTGTTTTTAAACCGGGCCGGAATTTATAGTTCCTAATTGCAAAATGTAGTCCTATTCATATACTGTCCGCGTTCCGGGCCTTGCATCCAGAGCAATCGAAGCTACAGCTCCAGCATCTGGAAGTTTCGGCCTCTGAGCCCGGAACGGACGGTATGTCTACATAACCCGTAAATTTTTTTCCAGTAATGGTAAAAACGATCGATTTCTGGGGTGAATTTAAGGCTTTCGTTCAAATGTGGCGTAAACGAAACCATATCAGGGTGCGACAATCCTCGACTGAAAGTCATATCATGAGTTCAAAGCTCGTTTCGGCAACACAGCGTTGCGAAGTTTACATTTTTACCATTGAAAAATGCCAATATTTTGATGTTCCTCGGTTGAAAAAAACAAAGGAGAGGGGAATAACCGAACATAAGGGCCGTTTTTAAGCCCATCATTAAGGAATTCTCAAATCTACAATTTTTTGTTCATTGAAAGTCTATATTTTAAGGAATTCATCATAATTTTGTCGTGGTCAGCCTCTCTTTACAGGTCTAATACTGGCCTAAACATGGGCCTGAGGGGTCTGTGGTCGAATGTCGAAAAATTTACATTTTCGCCAAAATCGGCCTTCAGACTCATATTGAGGACGGTAATAGACTCAAAGAGAGGCCGAAAATGGCAAAATATTATGCATTCCTTAAAATATAGACCTTCGATGAGTAAAACTCATAGAGTTGAGGAAATTCAGGGTGGGCCCAAAAATGGCTCGGATCGATACTACTGTTTTATAGTCAATCCGTTTTTATTTTCTGAGGCACAGTATATCATTAATCGATGTTACTGTCACTTTTATTTCCATCCTGGGGAATCAATCGGGCTTTACTTCACTGATTTTAGCCCGTGCTATCGGAGAGTGAGCTGTCCGCATTTCCCTGTGTTTTTCGTTGATAAGAGATATCGCACAGTGAATCCCACTTGGAACTAGCACTGCCGGTCATCGCTGTCTCAGAACCTGGTTTTGAGTTGCGGTGCTATCTTGCAAGCGGAATACATCTATCTCCTCCTGCATTAATTATCCTGTCGGAAAATTCTGGGAGCATTGTTTCAGCTGAACCCTCTAAATTCAGGGTAGAAAACTCACTAATTTAAAGTTTCAATCCAGTATTCCCTTTTTTTTTTTTTTTTTTTTTTTTTTTTTTTTCAATTAGAATGAGGACGTGATAGGTTTACCACCGAAGGCCTACAAATACATGCTAACTAATTAGAAGATAAGAAAACAAAAGTAATGAAAGGAAGTAGGTTAGTTGGTTATTTCCTTAAGGTCGTGGTCGCTGATGATGAGGCCAAAATATCGAAATCAGTCTGACGATTGTAATTTTCAATATGTATAATTTGCAAAAGAATGGCAAAATTTTAATTTTTTAGCAGTTTAATTATTTCATCTCGTGCAGACCGTTGCACGTTCCTATCGACTACTTCCTTTACCAAGAAAATTTCCACTTTTTTTAAAAGCTCCAGAAGAAACATTTTGAACCTGCAGCCGAATGATGCGATATTAACTGATGAGCTTAAACACGAATTGCATTGCTTATTGCAGAGAGCCGAAGCAATCGTCTCTTTTACCACTTTTTTTCTGAAAATATGAAATAACTAGGTGGCTCTGCATCCTGGCCGCTACGCGGCCCAACCCCCGGAGGGCTGCGCGCCCCCAAAGGCTCCATCTTCACCAAGAAAAAAGATTGGTAGAATTTGCCATTCCTTCGCGCTGTATTTCACACAGCGTCAGTTCAGAGCCAATTCTGCCAGAAAAAAGTTAAACGTTACTATACACTGGTACAGTTAACCATTCCTCTGGCATAATCGACTTTGAATTCACGCAGTGCGAAATGCATCGTGAAGGAATGGTAAATTCAACCAATCTTTTTTCTCGGTGATACTCTTTTCACTCCTCTTCCTCGCCCCGACCATCGAGAGTCTTGGAAATGATTTTATTAGAATAGAGAGGATGTGGAGTTTTTTTCTCTCTTTCTCACTCTCAACTTGAGGTGAAGTCTTCAAAATTTTAAATTAGATGAAGCAGGAAAAAATCGAGCATGTTACAATAAAGACGGAAATTCTTTCTTTCTAAAAATTAGATGCAGACTTTGGATATGTTAATCGCCGAAGTTATCTAATGGAAAAGTAGGTAACTTTGTTTATTAGTTTTTAACTCTATTCTTTTATATTTTGGCTCAAGTAAAATCAAATTCTGAAATTCGGCTCGACAAGACGCTTTTGACCAGAGGTGGTAGAACCGGCTGACCCTAGGAACGTGTTTGATTCCCTTCCGGCTAATTGTAAGCGCGAGTCTCATCCTCCGGACCAAAGCTTGATACTTCGAGTACCTAATAAAGTTGAGTCAAAATTTTTAGCTCCAAAAATTTACAAACTGATTGCGGTAGACGCACGGGTCGTAAGACAGTATGTCGGAGTCTTTCTCCAACGCGCGTTAAAAATTCAGCTTAAAGCTGAAAATCTCAATACAGAGGGAAAAAGCTCATATGAGCACAGTTGGACCGCGTTAAACAGAAAGGAACCAAGCCACATCAGCTATTGCCAAATTTAATTGGGCCATTTAATTTTTACATGAAAACGGCTGTGCGGATTTTCGTGGAAATTTCAGTGAAAATTCTCCTTGGTACGAAGCAAATTCCTTAAAGTTTTCAAAGAAATCCGACAAACGTTCTCTCGTAAAAAATTTAATTGCCCAGTTAAACTTGGCAATGGCTGATGTAGCTTGGTTCCTTTCTGTTAAACTCAGTCCAATTTTCCCTCGAAGAAATATGCTGTTTGGTGCAACACTAGTTACGTCCATTCAGGAAATTAAGGGATTTTGTAACGCACGTTGGCAAAAAAACTCCAACATACCGTTCAAAAAATTTCTTTACCTATTAAAGTTGAAAATGTAGTTCGAGCCGGTAGGAGAACCGGCTTTTTCGACCATGCAAACCACGAGAAAAAAAAAACAAAAAAAAAAACAAAAAAAAAACGGAACAAACCTTGGCTCCGATCTGGTTTCCGCACTGTCCGGCTTGGAGATGCACTATTTCTCTCATGGTTGAAGAGGGGTGGCGTGGATTTGGCACTGAAAGGAAGACGTGGAGTTTGGCACAACGGGAGACGCTACGGCGGAGTCACTCGGGTGACGGTGGCGAAGGACTGAGACCCGACTGTCGGAGGACGAAGTGCGCGGACGACGGGGAGATTGATACTGAATACTGTTACGACGGCGGAGAACGCGGAACGGAACGGCCCGGCGGCGGCGCGGCTGGAGAGGAGCTGGAACTGCACTTGCCACTTGCTGTCCGACTTCCAACTTCGACTTCCCCGCCGCCACCGTCATCGCCGACGTCGCGTCCCCGGCCGTCGCGCTCCATGCCCCAAGATTCGGCCCTCCTTCGAGCACCCCAAGCGAGGTTGCCTAATTCTGCCGTCATAGTGAAAAGAGCAGTGAGTATCAAATTTTCACTGGGAAAAGAAAAAAAAAAAAAAAAAAAATTCGGCCGTTGAGTCCGTAGTTACGGGCCATATAGACTTAAACACTGGAAAAAAACAAAAAACAAACAAGTTGGTTTTTGCAATCGCTAGCGATAGCAATATTCGTCATGGGAACTTTTGCTTCTGGGATATGAAAATGTTAAGGTACAGTTCGTTTGTAGTATCTTCAGAATTGAAGGGGCTATGTAATTTTGTGTCGACATCTCTTTTTTAACATTTTTAATTTTTTTTCTTTGAACTTCGGCTGAGTGATTAGCTCACGAGAAAATTCCGGATTTATCAGAAAGAAATGGAAAAGACGAAGTATTATAAGAAGTTTACTTTCAAAACTTTTTTTTTTTCACAGAGAAAGATTTATTGGAGGTTTTTTTTTTTTTTTTTTTTTTTTTTTTTTTTTAAATTGAATCGAGTTATATTAGGTTTATTTTTCATAGAACTTTCTTAACTTGCGTTTACAGGGTTTAATAGTATGTACCAGGAAAAGCTTTTTCTCTAAATATTATTTTCGGATCTCTCCTCTACAATGTCATCTAGAGATTTATGGTATGTCATAAAATTAAGGTTGAGAGGATCGAAGGATAGATGATTCATTGTGACTTAACTCTACTTCGTTGTCGAAAAAAACTATCACCACATAGTTTGCCACAAAAATCACTATACAATTTTGCAATAAAAATAAAAAACGCCGCGCTCTTCGCTTTCACGGCAGAATCGTCGAAAATGTAACAAGAAAATAAATTGAAGAAGAATGCCGCAAACGCCAAATGTCAAGGTTCGAGAAAACATGAAAAACCTATGCTTACACTGTTCAAGATCGAGGAGTGAAATTCGGTGGCGGAGTCTCTACACCGCTCAAAACTCCGATATGAATGAGAGTCGAAATTAGCACCATAAACGCGTAAGACACTCCGTAAAAAGAGCAGATTCCGCTCGGTATTAATGTAAGTCATTACGTAAGGCAAATAGATTCCGCTCCACATTAATATCACTCGGAGTTTTTGGGCGTCGTATAGACTCCACCACAGAATTTCACTCCATAATGATTGACAGTGCAAAATTAAAATGGTTTTAAACTGGTTTCAGGAGGCTAAAAGGATCCCTCGAGTTAAATTACATACATTAATTACATAAATTACATAATTACATGCAATATATGTTGCTCGTTTACCTAAATTCGTTTGCGATTTTGAGGACCGACATTCAAACATTGAATCGTTTTTTCAGAAAATTGACAATGTCGCGATGAAAATCATTGATATTTATCTTTATCGGCACAATAGGCAATTCGGCACTCAGTTAAAATTTATGGCAAACAAGCAAATCGCCATCAGTTAGTATCGCAAGTGATGAATTCCATTCTAGCTCCTGGATGCAACTATTCGAGCTCAACGGATGTCCGTGTTGCATATGCTCAGAAGTGAAGGCGTTTTGACACTTAAGGTTTTCTCCACATCCGTGGCGGACACTACTGCTGGGGGTGTTAGGATCCAAAATGGCAAAGCACCTTTAATTCTTTGTTTGTGCTAAGAAATACTTCTCTAAGTCTTGACAAGTTGCATGCAGGCGTGAAAAGTGGTTTCAGAGGTAAAATTCCTTCTAATTTAATTGAAATGTGCATAATTTTATTGTTCATAAGTGTTATTTAATATATTTAATTTCCTATTACTACGGAAACGGAAATTTGTTATCCGATACATCTTGTTTCCTACACCTCAAAAGGGAAAATAATATAATTTTTCTAATTTTTTTTTGTAATTAACTTAATTGCAATTGATAACTTTGATATCTATAGTGCATCAGTTTCGATATCGCGATGTGCGAAAAATAATTTATAGAGCAAAGCTTTCCGAGCCTAAGAGATGTCTTTCCGTACAAACGAATAATGAAAGTTGCTTTACCATTTTTGATCCTAGCAGTGCTGTCTGCCGTGCCGCGGATGAAGAGATGAGTGCCTGGAGCGTCAAAACGCCTTCTTTTCCGTGCATATGCAACCCGGACATCTGTGGAGCTCGAATAGTTGCGTTCAGGCGTTATAATGAAATGTTTTCAAAATACTCGCGGGCGATACTAAGTGAGGGCTTTCTGCTCGTTTCTCGTACACTTTATCTTACTTCTAGCTTTGTCTATGAACCGATGACGTACAGATTTACCAATGAAGTAAACCATTACTGATTTTTATCGCGACATAGTCAAATTTCAGCAAACTGATTTGATTGTTGAAATGTATTACAACGTTGCCCTCATGTCATTCGGGCTGCGCACATTCACCGACCTAAGAACGACAAACGCGGCGGAGTCGTTTCAAGGATCCTCCAGAAAACAATGTTCGAGCGCGCATCCGAATATATTTCGTCACCTTCCAGGCAAAGTATCACAAGCGCCATGCGACGTTTAAAAGTTTCCGCCGCCATTTTATTTCTTTACTGAGAAATTGTTGGTTGAATCTGTTTGGAAATTTCACTAAATTTTATCGGCAGCACAAAGAAAAGTCAGTGAAATTTTCGGACAGCTTTGTTGAACAATTTCTCTGTAAAAAAATAAAATGGCGGCGGAAATTTTTAAACGTCGCATGGCGCTTGTGATACTTTGCCTGGAAGGTGACGATTTGTTTTTGCAGAAGAGTTAAAAAGAAGTCCAGCCAGAGTTGAAAATCAACCCACGTTTAATGCAGAACCCGGTGAAGCAGGGCCTACAGCTTGAGGAGAAGGCTCGACATTCTTCATTTTCTATATCGAAAACTACTAAACGTCGTGCCTTGAAAACTTCCGTCATTTTTTTCTGTGTTAAGAACATTCTGTGAAAATTGCAAACCATGATGTTGGTTCGGTTTTATTTTAAAAAATAAAATATTGAGCGAACACTTTGCATGAGCACAACCGAGATATAGTCATTTTTACAGTTTCACCATCGATATATTGATGTGCCACAAATATTGGTGTGCTTGAAATGCCACATGAGCGACTTTATATTTTTAAAATTTCTCTTGGATTCTCCCCAGGGTCCCTCTTTAGCTTTAGGATGCCCCTCAAATTGGTCTTTATAGAGCGCCTAGATAAATCTCGCTCAGGCCAAAAATTCATAAATCCGGTAATCTTGGAACAATATGACAAGAGTTCCATGTACCCAGTGCTGAAGTCATTTTTCCTTGCCCATTTCCGTTTATTTTTGCCGCACCCCCAGACCCCAGACACTCTCGATGAATCACGGATGAAAATGTTCCAATCGTGCTAAATTTTTTCCGGACCATCATTTAGTGAAATAGAGCGGGTTGGACTGCGGAGCGACATGATCTGGAAGTTTATATTTATTCAGGTATAAAAATGGACCACCCTTCTAACGAGGTGAATTTTTTTGAGATGTTGAAATGAGGAAAACGAACGGATTTTGCGTGTAATTAATTTTATTGGAGCCTGAGACGTTTTGTGACATTAAACATATGGTGACGGTGTGAGAGAGACGGAGACTTTATCAGCTCATGGACTTCAGTCTGATTCCCTCTTTTAAAAATTGGTTTTCCACCCTCCGCCGCAAAAATTACTCCAACATGCGAAACCGTTTTTTATTTTTATTGCAAAATTGTATGGTGATTTTTGTGGCAAACTATGTGGTGATAGTTTTTTTCGACAACGAAGTAGAGTTAAGTCACAATGAATCATCTATCCTTCGATCCTCTCAACCTTAATTTTATGACATACCATAAATCTCTAGATGACATTGTAGAGGAGAGATCCGAAAATAATATTTAGAGAAAAAGCTTTTCCTGGTACATACTATTAAACCCTGTAAACGCAAGTTAAGAAAGTTCTATGAAAAATAAACCTAATATAACTCGATTCAATTTAAAAAAAAAAAAAAAAAAAAAAAAAAAAAAAAAAAAAAAACCTCCAATAAATCTTTCTCTGTGAAAAAAAAAAAGTTTTGAAAGTAAACTTCTTATAATACTTCGTCTTTTCCATTTCTTTCTGATAAATCCGGAATTTTCTCGTGAGCTAATCACTCAGCCGAAGTTCATTTTGTTTCAACAGAAATTTTTCTCTAAGTACACGAGATTTCTTATGAGATTGGGATTTTTGGTCCTCTTGTGGATCCACTCGGGAGACCGAAAAAAACATTCTCAGAGATCTAAGTAGGCTAACTGTCTGGGGTCTAGGTGCAGAGAGAAGCTACTCACACGCTACACCAGCCATCCATAACTGAGGAAATCATTTCATTTTTGCGAGTTGCAGGCGGCTCCTAATTGAACCATTAGTAAAGGCCGGTCGCGCTCTTCAGTTCGGCGGCCAAAACGCGTTGCTCCTCTGGTGCAAGGGCGTACCTCAATTTCCACGTGACCCATGTTTCACATTTTAACCCTTACTCTCTAGGGCTCATGTGGAAATCAAGATACTCCCTTACACCAGAGGAGCAACAAATTATGCTCGTTTCCTAACCTTGCAGTTCATTTTACCTTTCTTTCATTTCAATCTCATTTATTTCCTCCTTTCCTCATGTATTTCGCTTCCATTTGTTTGCCAAACACCGGAGCATCAAACCTACCATGTGCCGAACCCAATGTCCAACTGAAAAAAGCTCGGATCTACATGATTTTGTGTCCAGATTTCATGTTTTTTTCTTCTTCTTTTTTTTAGTTAGCAGAAATTCTTCCAAACCTTCAGATATTGACAAAAAAATTCATAAAAAGCAGATATTTCAGCATCAAATCAGGGAAATTTCTCAGTTTACGCGATTCATCATCAAACATACATAAAGTGAAAAATCACTGAAAGATCTGACAGGATTTTTTTTTCTTTTTCTACGTGTCTGTAAAACTTGTTGAACGCAGTGAATTATTGATAAAAAGGAACTCTTTCTCGGCATCTTGAATGAATTAAAGTGACCCACAATTAACCGCATTTTGATAGCTTGCACAAAATTTACCCAAATTTCCACAGCTGCAATACTCAGACGCGGAGTCTCAAAAAAATATTGTCTCCGGTTATACAGAATAAAGTTGCGAGGTTATGCGATAGTTTCAATTTTCATCACCTATAAGAAGATAGGAAAAATTTAAGGAAATCACTCTCAAATAAACTCCCATCAATTCCTTCAAATTCCATTGTATTGCTGGATTCATGAAATACAATCACAGTCAGCATGAAAAAATATAATTTTTTTGCACAATAACTCAACCTATACCTTTATTTGGTATCATTTGTTTAAAAATGCGACTTATAAAACTAAAACAACACTAATTTGCCCGGCAAATTGGAAGTATCAATCAGGATCCCAGATCAGACTTACAAGTTAATGAATGGGCAGCACTAATGTAAAACTAAAATGGTATTGGAAACTTTCCCTACTTTTTTAGATTTATTTTCTACGTAACAGTCACAATAATTGCATTTCCAACGTAGTTTAGAGCTGTTTTACCGACTATCCTCAATTTTACCTATTTTTGAATACATTAATTTGTTTAATTGAAGTTATTATTTCATTCGATGTCGATTGGTTTAGTTTTAACATCGGGCGTGATCTTCCATGGCATTGTATTCAAACGCAAAACTTCCGAAACTAACAATGACTGGCTTTGTCAGAAGACAAAATTCTGGCTATATAACTCGGAGATCTTATTCCTTCGTGATTAATTAGAGTGTAATGGTTTGAAAAAGGTAGGAGAGAACGGTGTGCGTAATATCTACGTCAAAAAAAATATGGGCTCATTTTAAACGATTGAAAATCATGTAGCGCCTTCAATTACAACCTTGTTTTACACTCATCACGTCGAATACAACTAAACCTGCTCGACGGCTAGCTATGTTGCATATTCAAAAAAACTAAGGCGCACTAAGCTTCTTAACGTTAACTGCACGGCAATAGGACGTGGGCAGTGCCAGCTGTAATGACGTAAAAAGGCGCCCACAAGCCCTGCTTCAAGGGCGGGGATGAGCCCACTTCCTAAGGGTCCCAAAGTCCCTTGGATTAAACGCCGATGGATGAAAATGAAAGAAGAAAAACCTCTTATCTGGCTTTTAGCTCAAATACAGGACTCGATTGGGCTTATGTATTTAAAACTGAAGAAATATTTGGACGCTTCATAGTTTTCTTGTTACATGCCTCGGTTTTAATCACCAAGAAATAGTGCAGTAGCCTTCAATGTGTTTCAATCGGTGAGATTCGGAATTTTCGTAAATAAATGGCTAAATTTTTTTTCGGAAACGCCAGAAAAAAAATAACTTTGGAACATGATTAAAATGTATATCAGTGGGCCGATTATTGAAATTTATAGACAAAGCTATATGCAAGGAAGACATAAGGAGTATAGAGCAATCCTATTGCTTGAAATGGGTGGTTCTTATAGACAAAGGTGGTAAATAGTAGATTGACTATCGGGTCCCTCGTGGGTTGCCGTTAGTTAGTCTATTACCTGCGTCCTTTGTCCATTGCACCGACCCGCTTCCACCAATAAGATCCCTCCATATCCTTTCCGTCCTCTTTGTCTATTGCTTTGTCTATCAATTTCAATAATCAGCCCACAGGCGAGCTTTCTCCAAATTTACGGACGGAGCATAATCAAACTTATCATTGAGGGGGGGGGGGGGTCTATTGCTTACACCAGCGGATTGGATAACCAACTTGTTAACCGCGACCGTGCCATCCAGTGGCGTGGCGTGCTTTGCGATATATCGATTGATCGGTCATTTGAACCTATGGAAAAGTATCGATAAACAGGGTGTTCGCAGCGAACACCTCAATAATCGATTCTTTACCATAGGTTTAAATGGCAGAACAATCGATACATCGCAATTCACGCCACGCCACTGGTGCCATCTCGGGGATCTTAAGAATGGACGTCATTTTGAAATTAGGAACTTCAGTCTCTGCCTCATCCGTAAAAAAACTGATTCACATAGGGGAACTAATGGTACAAAAGTTGTTTCTTAAGTGAGTCAGAAATTTTAGTTCCGAATTGCAAAATTCAGTCCGGAATGCTTCTAATCGGGTCCGCTCTTAGCACATCATGGCAATACAATGGCTAGCCAGCGCGGGCGGTAAGATAACAACAATTTTGTCGAGTGTTGCTAAAACTTCGTTACGATAAATGGACTGCATTTTGCAATTTGGAGCTATAAAATCCGGCTCTTCTGGGAAAACACTCATGTGCTTAGGGAAGCTAATGGCACATACGTTGTTTTTAAACCAAACTAGAATTTATAGTTCCAAATTGCAAAATGTAGTCCAAATGAGAGGTCTAAGAGGCCATTTCACATCCCAAACGGAACTGTAACCGAATTATCACCCATTAGGTTACGATACCTGGCCAGCGCCATCAGCGGAAAATACTTCGAGTACCCATGATAGCGAAGATACAAGACCCGCGGAAACCCAGTCCCGGTATAAAGCTCCTCGTCCCATAACCCATGATCCTCCTGCGTCCGCTGAAGATAAGCCACCCCTTTCACCACCCCCGCATGCCTTACCTCACCCGCTGCCATCAACCCCAAAAGAGCCCACGCAGTCTGCGACGCAGTGCTCGGGGCGGGCTCCCACTCGGCGTAGTCCAACCTGTAGCTAGACGGATCCTCGCCCCATCCCCCATCCCCATTCTGGATGGACAAGAGCCACTTTACTGCCCGTTGAATCATTGAGTCGTTATGCGCGCACCCAACCGCGTTCAGCGCGCTCAATACTACCCATGTTCCGTAAATGTAGTTGACACCCCATCGACCGAACCAACTCCCATCTTTTTCTTGTTCCTTGAGCAAAAATCTATAGGCTCTTCGGGCTGTCTCGCTCTCGCTGTCGCCTAACTGCGCCAGCATGGACAAGCATCTCCCGGTGACGTCAGCTGTGGGTTGGTCGAGCATCGCACCATGATCCGAGAACCATGATCCACTGTCGTCAGCTGTGGGTTGGTCGAGCATCGCACCATGATCCGAAGGATGTCGTTCATATACGCGTGCGTGTTCTCCGCATCGAAGGCCCCCCAGCCACCGTTACTACTCTGCATGCCGACCACCCATTCCCGCCCGCGGGCGATCTGCTCCGCGAAAGCCGCGGGGTCGCACCGCTCCATCGCCATGACGATGACCGCGGTGTCGTCTACGTCTGGGTAGTGCGGGCAGGCGTAGAAGAAGGCCCAGCCGCCAGGTCGGAGGTCAGGCCGTTATGGTCCAATCACCGTGCACGTCTAGGACCTGCCGCGGACGTAGCCATTCCAAGCCACGGCGAGCCGCGGTCAGGGCGTGTTGGTCGCGGGTTTCCAAGAGTGCTTGAGCAGCGAGAACTGTATCCCAGACTGGCGATAGGACCACTTGACAGTACGCCTCGTCCTCGTCGATGCGGTTGAAGAGAAGTTTGTCTAGTGCACTACGGGCGATGGCACGGGAAGAGTGATCACCCAGTACGTCGTACATTATCATAGAGTAGAGGATTGGTGGGAGGGAAGCGCCAAGGCCGTCCTCACCGTTGAGTCGTTCGTCGACAAACTTCACCGCGGTGTCGATTGCCCGCTGTCGGAGAAACTTCGGCGAGAACGGATCCAGCACACGCAAAAAAGCGTCCGCGAAGCGGAAGAAGGTAAACCAACCTAAACTTTGATGTGGACGGCGGGGAAGTAACCCGACGGTGCTGGGTGGGGTGATGAAGATCTCATCGATGCGAACACCGCGAGGGTTACGCGCGAGCGGTCGCTTAGCGCACAAAACTAGGAGTGGGACCATTGTCGCACGTGCCCAGTACGACATCTTTGAGAGGTGGAAGGGAAACCACTGGGGTAAGAGTATGATTTCGACGGGCATCATGGGTACAGCGTCCCAGGTGACGATGCCGAAGAGAGCGAATAAAATCCGCGAGAAGACGTTTCCGGCCTCGGCACCGCCAGCGCGGAGGATGGCGTCCCGGGCGAGGGTCATGTGCTGGGCGTCTGGAGGGTCGCCGGCCATCTTGAGGGCGAAGTAGGCCTGGGTGCTGGGGTGGATGTCCATCGGGCCGTCTGTGTGGAGCGCCCAGCCGCCGGTTGGGAGTTGGGTGCGGCGGAGGCAGTTGGCGAGTTTTTGCTCGCGGATGGGGTCGGGTGTCTCGCCGAAGTAGTGGAAGTATAGGAGGTACTGAGCTGTGATGGCTGCGTCGGTTTCTAGTTCGTAGATCCAATGGCCATCGGATTTCTGGTCGTGCAGAAGCGCTTCTGTCGCGCGCGTGATGGTTCTTTTTAAAGAGTCGGTATCCATTGCGGCCGTCGGTGGGTCGGTACAATGGGCTGTAGGAGGATTTTACGTAGGAGTTTCAGGCAAAGTTTCCACGCATACAATTAATCTGCAACATAAGTCTCCGGCAATATAAGTTTCTGTTTTGTGCATGAAAAATTGGACGTATTTCTATCAAACAGAACTATCCTTTCTCTCTGCACATAGCTCTGTTTGATAGAAACACGTTAGATTATTATCGGTAAGAGACCGGCCACCAGCGGGCCGATTATTGAAACTGATAGACAAAGCGATGGACAAAGAAGACATGGGGAGTATAGAGCGATCCTATTGGTTGACATGGTTGGTTCTTATAGACTAAGGAAGAATATGATGGACTAACTGTCGGGTCTTTGGTGGGTTGCCGTTAGTTAGTCCATTACCTACCTCCCATGTTCATTGCCACCACCCGTTTCCACCAATAGGATCCCTCCAAATCCCTTTTGTCGTCTTTGTCTATAGCTTTGTCTATCAGTTTCAATAATCGGCCTGCTGGGCCGTGTTCATAGTAGTTCCTTGAACAGCGCTTTTCCTTAGAAGACCGTTTGTCGATGACCAAAGTGTAAAACCACGTGTCTCCATTGAAGTGTTTCAAAGTTCTTCCTCGCAGAGAGATTAACCGAGTTCACAGCTTAAAATTTACACAGAATACTCTACTATTAGAGAAGAAAAATCAAAGAAGTTATCAAAAAATTATGTTGAATAGCTTTCCAAATAAAAAATGAAGTATGATGGCAGGAAGTCTGCAACGTCACAAACGGAGACACGTAGTTTTGCACTTTGGCCATCGATATGGTTTGCGTGGTGATTAAGAAAGAACTGAAGAGATCCTCATTAATGACATCATAAAAAGGACAAACTTAACGATCCTGGGCATTCGGAGATGGGGCGGGCGGTCTGACCTCCCTAGAATTTAAGCTAGTATTAACTGCCCCCCCCTCCCACCTGAAATTCTGGGTGGTGGGAAAAAACTATCGTCGAGGATATTTATCCCTTCTCATATAGTCTTAAATGAAAATGCCGTGTTCATTCAGTTAATTTTTTCTAAATGTTTCGTCAGCCTTGAACCAAATGAATTAAAATTAAAAATATAATTAAAAACGGAAAAATGAAATGAAATGAGAAAAATCGATTAAGAGTGACATTATTAACAGAAAATCCAGAGGTAAAATTTCAAAAAATTTCCGGGTCTATTGAATGCAACATTTCGAAAGGATTTTGTGCTAAAAGTAAATGAAGAAACGTAGCTTGGCGTCAGCGTGCATGAAGGCTATATCCATTTAAATCTTCCGTCACATTCTTACGGCGCAATGATACAACTATTTGAACTCTCCGGAATGCGTGAGGTATCACGCCGCATTTGAAGGCGTTTTCAAAACAGCCAAGTTCCGTTATCGAAATGATCTTTTTGCATAGTTCATATTATTTTGTTTCCATTTCTAACCACTTGTTTAATTATAATCCTCCTATAAAAACCACCCATTTGCTAAACACAATTCTAGCTGAAGCGCACTTAAGCGCATTCATGACTGCAAAAATGTTAACGGAAATCGAAAAGGCCAGCGTGCATGAAGGCTCTTTCCATTGTAATCTTCCGTCGCATTTCTAAGGCGCAATGATACAACTATTTGAACTCTCCGGAATGCGTGAGGTATCACGCCGCATTTGAAGGCGTTTTCAAATCAGCCAAGTTCCGATACCCGGATTATCGTTTTGCATAGTTCATAGTATTTTGTTTTCATTTCTAACCACTTGTTTATTTATAATCATCGTAGAAAAACCACCCATTTGCTATATACAATTCTAGCTGGAGCGCACTTCAGCTATGCATTCACCACTGGAAAAATGTCAAAGGAAATCGACACGCCTAGCGTGCCTGGAGGCTATCTCCATTTAAATCTTCCGTCACATTCTTACGGCGCAATGATACAACTATTTGAACTCTCCGGAATGCGTGAGGTACCACGCCGCATTTGAAGGCCCGGACCTTAAAACTGGTACCAGGGCCCGAGGTGGGATGTGGCGGGCCTGTAGAGATCACAATGATTTCTCTCCCCCAAATAATTAAAAATATTTATGAAGATATTTTAAGATTTCGACAAACGGTAAGGCAAGTATGGGCTTACCTCAAAATGTTCACAACATGACACTTTTTTCCCTCTTTATTTTTATTTTTTCAGAGGCAAATCATCGTAATCACTTGCAAGAATCTATTTTCAAAGCTTCACTGCTAAGTTTAGTTGAAATATGGATGTATTTCAATATACGCGTACCCACGCAGCAGAGGCTGCATTAAATCGCAATCTCATGGTGAAATTATTGCTGATAATACGGAATGAATGTTCTACATGTTGTTTTCTCACCAATGAAAGGGGCCCCTCTTTTTGAAATTCATAGCATTAAAATTGAAGAAAGTCGATCGCAGTTTTTTGGGTATTTTTTTTTGCTTTACAAATTGCTGATTTTTCTTACACATAAAACTCATATTTTCATTAAAAATCATCATTAAAAATTAACATTTATCGACCAAATGTTGTAAAAATATTGCAATTTAACGGCAAAAAATTATAATCGTCTTTCATTTAATTTCAAAATTCTCTTGATATTTTCGTTGCGTTGTACTATTTAACCGTAACCTTTTAAGATATCAATAAAGTTTACCTTTCAGACGACTATTGAAAAAGGGCAGTGGGCTGTGGTGTAACTATGAGAGTAAAAGTATGGGACTAGATCGAAGAAAGGGCGCTCTTTAATCCACTATCAAAGCAAAACTAAACTGAACAATGATACGACCGACGGATGTTACGATTATCACAGGTCAAGTCCAGTGCATCCACATGCAGCCATGCAAACTCAGCAATACTGAAAATCTCCGTATGGACGTAAATCATGCTACAGTCATGAAAGGAAATTTTACAGAGTCATCAACCTGCTTATCCAGCAAAATCAAGAACTTAAAATGGGTCCAAGGCCGCAAAATAAAAAACCGGGACGTTTTGCAGTGCTCACACTTGCATTTTAACCGGAAATACACTAGAAAAATTGAAAAGAAACACGAACTTACACCGGGCCTTTTGTTGTCTATTCAGGCTGAGTGTAAGTTCATGTTCCTTTTAATTTTTAATCTTTGAATTTCCGATTGAAATGCAGGTGTGAGAACTATGCAATGCCCTGGTTTTTTATTATGTTTTATGTTGCGGTCCTCCTATTTAGATGCATAAATCGGGCAATAGTGTAAATTGATATTTCAACTAGAAACATGTAAGTATTTATCCGAAAATTTGAACCGCTCCGGGGGCTATGATAAGTCAAAAATTTTCGAGGACGATAGATTGTGGGTCGAAATCTGGTTGAAATCCATTTTTCTTCTTCTTTTTCTCTCCCCCCCCCCTCTGCATTCCGTAGAGGAGTTAGAGAATGAGAGAAGTATCCTATGAGTAACATGGAAATTAATTTCTTTACTTGTTTTTGCATCATGAACTAGGCCTCAAAAATCACAAATCATGTAACAGCGATTACCTCTACCGACAAAGTTTCCACCACATTTCTCCATCTGTGCACTCTGCATCGTTTTAAACTTGTATTATTTGAATTATAAACATGGAAAGCTCCTAAGTCCATATGCCAAAAGGTGCCCAATTCTATTTTAGTCTGTTCGAGATAACAAGGGAAAACCGCGCGTCAACCCCATTGATTCTAATGTAAATCGAATTTTTTGAAACTCCGTATCTCATAACCGGCGCGGCGTAAGAAAGGGTTACCGAATTTTCCACACACACACACACACGCACACACAGAGCCGTCAGTGAAGATTTTCAATACACCGCAAGTTCGATTTTTCAAAAAATGTGAGTTAGATACCCTTTGGGTCTGGGTAACTGACTTAACCCACGGATTTATTTTCTCCCATCCCGAAAATATGACTCCCTATTTTCACTTTAAATCTTAATTCCCCTCCTTTCATGCATTCCTATAATTATTTTCTTTTTGGTTTTATTTTTCAGATTTTCCAGCTTCCTACCTTGCCTGTTATGAACTTACGAGTCTTCTAAAGGTATGTTGTTGCATTCTTTTGAAATTGCCGTATGTTTGGAAAATCTAGTTTCTTTCCCATTTTGATAACATTTCAATAATGCAGAGACTTAACTTTTTTCTTCCACAACACTTAGTCTTCGTCAAGAATATCACAATCAACCTCATTCAAATTCATTGCTTTAATTTCTCATTTTATTTGCTCGTTTCCCTTGTTGTCGCAGTTTTTCTTGACATTTTGTCTTCTTCCTTAATGTTTTAAATTTTCCCTGCCTCATTTTTCATGTGGCATTTGCAGAATCTTAATCTGTGTATTTACTGTCCGTTCACTTTCCTCTTCTCCGTCAATTGGACGTGTCTCTCACAAAAGAGAAAAATCGCGTATGTTCTTAGGAATTCATTTCAAGTAGCAATTCACCTAAGAAATAAAATACGACGCGAAGTCATCAACGTCGCAAACCGACATACGAGGTTTGGGGGTTTTACCATCGAGGTGAGGATTAATTCTGCATCTGTTAAAATGATTTTCCCTTGCCCCTTCATCGACCTTTATAAAATCGCTGCGGGAGGAAGTATGCAACTTATCGAGCTTCTGCGTGAGCTGCGGTACCACTCGTAATTGAAGGCACTATCTTATTCGTGAGAGCCTATCGTTGTCGTCGTGCTGAATGTTTCAGTATCTATGAGTACTCAAACTAAGATAAGTTGCAGTTTTCCCTTGCATTGCATTGTAAAATGTGTAATTTTTTTATACATAAATCTAACCTTAAAGGTCAAAAATTGTTTGAGAAAAAAGTGAAAATACTCTTTACGTAAGATTTTTTTAAAAGGATTTTGATTCAAAAATCACCGTAAAGGGTTCTTGAGCAATTTTTTAAGAGTTTTTGGAAATTGGTTTTTTAAAGTTATTGCTACAAGAGTTGGACTACGTTCGGAGCTACAATTTTTAGCTCATCTGTGAAAGCACTCATGTGCATAGAGAAACGAATGGTACATGTGTTGTTTCTACACTGAGACAGAGATTATGGTTCCTAATTGCCAAATGTAGTCCAGTTAAAACAAAGCCTTAGTCTTGATCTCTTTCTTGTAAATCTCGTGTTTTCCATGCTCTATTTCATTATTAAAATGAGAGAGACAGATATCATTTTTATATCATTCCCATATATTCCAATATTTAAAGGACCGTCTTACCAGAACCCTCCCTCCTTCTAAAATCCTTGATTTTCACTAAAAATAAATATTATTGGAGGAGGTTCGGCGACAATCGAATATTTTCACCGCATTCCTTCAAGCAAGGCAGATTGAAAAGAACAACAGAGGCCGCGGACCCCCCCCCCCNCCCAACTGAGATTAAAAGTATCTCCGTTTTATTGAAAGAAAATTTGAATAGTTTGAAGACCATTTTGCAGATTTGTTGAAATCTGCTCTCCTTTTATTCCCGGCCAAAGTTACCTCTTTCCGTGCAATTTTACCTTCACCCCCTCTTAAGATTCGGTTGCAGAATCTGCTGTTACAATTTCATTCAATATAATTAAAGAGCAGTATGATATTCGGCATAACCTTTACTGAAGTTTCTTTATGATTTTGCAATGCTGAAAATTAAACAGTTCAGAAAATTCACTCAATAGTTTCCTCTCTAACCAAAATATGAAGTGGCAGTTGAGATTCTGAAACACCGCAACCAAGAAATATCCTTTTTGCCCCCAACGCCTCAATTGCGTACTTGCTGTACGTGCTTTGTCCTTCGTAGCATAGGAGCTGGAGATTCGTGTTTCGGGCAGGTGTGACTATCTGTCTCATTTTGACAAAACCCAGGCAATATCTCTTTTACACTACCGATTTCCTTTTTCATCCGAGTCGCGATAAGAGAATTTTCTCCGACACCGGCCGGTGCCTGTCGCCAAACGGCCAGACAGAAGGCAGATCTGACCACCCATAGCCCCCTACTCCTACCCCCTTATACTGATCGGAGACGTCACGAGAAACGTCTTGCGGCAGTCTGGTGCGTGAGATCGAAGATGAAGGTTCAGTCCGTTACATTGGCTTGAGATTTTGAGAACTAATATTTCTATCATGTTCAGTAGTTTCCCGCCCCGCTATTAATTATTTTGAAACATAACTCATTCTTTCCAATTCGATTGCTTGCTGAGTTTCTTCTGAGTCGAATGAAAACACTCGTATCCGTTGTTATTGTATGAGTTTTCGGTAGCCGTTCTTCCGTGACGTTTACATGATATTTGGTTTGAAGATATCGTTTTGGAAGTCAGTTTGTTCATCAGTCATTTTGTTTTAATTTGGTAAGTCACTTGCTTTTATCGTCAAAAATTGAGGGGTTGGGTGCAGAAAGGGCATTTCTTGGTTGCGGTGTTTTAGAAGCTCCATTGTCAATTTATATTGTAGAGAGGAAACTACTGGGCGAATTTTCTGAACCTTTAAATTTTTTATTTTTAATTTTCAGCATTGTAAATTAGGAAAATTGTAAATTGTGATTGTAAATTATAAATTAGGGTATATTATGTTAAAAAATGCAAGACAATATTGTGTCGGATTTTTCTCTTAACCCATTTTATTCTTTCTTTTACAGTCAATATTTATTGGTCTCTCCAACAACATTCGACAAGGCGATGCACGAAGACGGAAAACGGTTACTCTGCACCAGAGCTGTTCCATAACTTCACAGATCATCCCTTCGTCATGGTAAGATATCCTCCCACTCCTTCTTCCTTTCAGAATTAAGGTGATTCGATGGACACTGTATTTTGTGTCAGAACGGCATGCGATATATCGCATCAATTGATTCCATCTTTTCAGCTACTCGTCATTTTTCTCCAATTTTGAGATCGCACTTCTGTTGTCAGGAGACTAAAGCACTCACTTACCAATTTTAACAAAGAAATCCAACGTAATAAAGGCGTGGTTTTTTTAGAGAGAAAATATAGCAATCGATACTGACATCGAAACTGCACTCGAATACGATATTTTCTCTCTAAAAAAACCATGCCTTTATTACGTTTAATTTCCTTGTAAAAATTGGTGAGTGCTGAAAACAGAATTGCGATCTCAAATTTGGAGAAAAATGACGAGTAGCTGAAAAAATGGAACCAATTGATGCAATTTATCGCGTGCCGTTCTGACACAAAATATGGCGTCCATCGAATCACCTTAATCACGAATGAATAAAGCATTGTCAATTTTTTCAATTTTTGAAATGAGCTGTCGAAGTATTCTTAAGGGGCCGTCCATAAGTTACATTCCGCATCTATTTCTTTGGCATTTTTGACTCCCCCCCCCCCCCCTCTGCAACGCATTTTTGAAGTAGATCCTTATTCCCATCCTTTAAGGTGATTCGATGGACGCCATATTTTGTGTCAGAACGGCATGCGATATATCGCATTAATTGGTTCCATTTTTTCAGCTACTCGTCATTTTTCTCCAATTTTGAGATCGCAATTCTGTTGTCAGGAGACTAAAGCACTCACTTACCAATTTTAACAAAGAAATTCAACGTAATAAAGGTGTGAATTTTTCAGAGAGAAAATATCGCATTCGAGTGCAGTTTCGATATCAGTATCGAATGCGATGTTTTCTCTCTGAAAAAATCACGCCTTTATTACGTTGAATTTCTTTGTTAAAATTGGTAAGTGAGTGCTTTAGTCTCCTGACAATAGAATTGCGATCTCAAAATTGGAGAAAAATGACGAGTACCTGAAAAAATGGAACCAATTGATGCGATATATCGCATGCCGTTCTGACACAAAATATGGCGTCCATCGAATCACCTTAACATGTAAAAACAAACGGCGCAACTCTCTCCTCAATCAACGATGATGTCACCGGATCTTTCTAATGAGTTCATTCATAAAAGTGGACTACATTTTGCAATTCGGAACTATAAATTCTAGCCCGGTTAAAAAACAACGTATGTGGCATTAGTTTCCCTATGCACATAAGTGTTTTTTCAGAAGAGCCAGAATTTATAGTTCCAAATTGCAAAATGCAGTCCAATTAACGTAACGCTGCAGAGGGTGTAGGATCTTTGCAAACGTTGTGCGGAGTTCCACGAGGAGGGGGGGGGGCATTGAGCGAAAGGACGATACGCCGCGCCGTCGCCTTTCGGCCAAAGTATCACGAGCTCCGCGCGACGTTTCAAAATTTCCGCCGCCACTTTATTTTTTACATAGAAATTGTCAGTTGAATCTGTTTGAAAATTTGACTGAATTTCATCGGTTGCACAAAGAAAATTCAGTGAAATTTTCAGACAGCTTCGTCGAACAATTTCTCTGTAAAAAATAAAATGGCGGCGGAAATCTTTGAACGTCGCATGCAGCTTGTGATACTTTCATAGGCGGTTCTAGACCTTCATGCTTGGGGGTGCCCAGAGGTGGAAAATGTCGGAAACCGGCCCCGAAGGGGAAGGTCGCTCGGGGAAGGCGTAAGTTTCGGCCCTCAAGTTTTATCCCTTTCCTACCCTCCTTTTTCTTTTTCTCTCCTTCCTTTCTACTTATATACCTATAAATTCAATGTAGAAAATTTTTAGCAAAACTTTCTATCAAAACTACAATCTTACCATAAAAAAAACAGTAGAATCTTTGTAAAACACGGCTATCAATATTAATTCTGGTTCCGATAACTGTACTTAATTTTTGCTTGGGGGTGCCCGGCACCCACTGGCACCCCCGTAGAACCGCCTATGGATACTTTGGTCGGAAGGTGACGACGTAACGATTTTGAGAGATTTTATTTTAAAGGACGTCAAAAGTGCTTCACAGCTTCGTGTCTATAGTTCGGAGGGGTTCTGATGGACTGGGGCTTGATTAGGTTGCATCGAATGAATCTTAGTGAAGAGTAAATGTTAATATTGTTGTTAGTGTATCAACTGCTACACTTTTGGAATTTTCCTGGGAAGAGGTACACGAAATTTCGAGGTGCGGTTTCTCGGTAGGGGGAAACCATAGAGAAAAAAAAGGAGGTGTTCGCATCTTGAGGTTCGTTTACCCTGTGACGTAGGTCGGTACAACCTGGCCAGCGAAATCCGTAATTTGAAGTATGAAAAATGGACCATAATGTCCCACTTTTTGCTTAAATCAACCCATGATATAATCTCAAGCTTTTTTTATAGAATTACTTTTTTCCCATAAATTACACCATTTCCAAGAAAATCGATGATAAAAGTCGTTGTGCCGACCTACGTCATCAAACAAATTCCAAGATGCCCGAAATGCAAACACCTCCTTTTTTCTCTATGGGGAGGGGGGGGCTGGCAAAGGAGCATGAATTGCACAGTAAATTGAATTTCCTTTGAGAAAGCTTGTCTTGCGTAAAAATATCATGATGGGTATTGAGAAAGACTCGGGTCATTTTCGGACTCAGCGCTGAAGATTGCGTAAGATTCAACTATCAATATCCCAAAAATTTTTCTTTTTGCAGACCTGTGTAATTTTTTGAACCAAGATACGGTGCCAAAAATAATATTCACCGAGAATAAAGTTTTAATGAGAACAATAGCCGATTTTCATTTTACCGGATATGTTTTCTTCGAGTTTTCCATGGTATTCTCCCGCTGTAAGATTTTGGGATCGCGGGTTTTTGTAGACTTCGTTAAAGCCACTCACCCGTGCCGTAGGAGAGGTTTTTCTAGGTTCCTTTCAGCCCCCTCCCCCTCCCCTCCTTCTCTCCTTTGCTACGCTGCCTAGGGGAGAAAATCAGGTCTTCACGTCCGGCTCGTCGGCGTCGGCAAAAAAAAGAGCCATACAGCTTGCTTTGATTAAGGTGATTCGATGGACGCCATATTTTGTGTCAGAACGGCATGCGATATATCGCATCAATTGGTTCCATTTTTTCGGCTACTCGTCATTTTTCTCCAATTTTGAGATCGCAATTCTGTTGTCAGGAGACTAAAGCACTCACTCACCAATTTCAACAAAGAAATTCAACGTAATAAAGGCGTGGTTTTTTCAGAGAGAAAACATCGCATTCGAGTGCAGTTTCGATATCAGTATCGAATGCGATGTTTTCTCTCTGAAAAAAACCTCGCCTTTGTTACGTTGAATTTCGTTGTGAAAATTGGTAAGTGAGTGCTTTAGTCTCCTGACATCAGAATTGCGATCTCAAAATTGGAGAAAAATGACGAGTAGCTGAAAAAATGGAACCAATTGATGCGATATATAGCATGCCGTTCTGACACAAAATATGGCATCCTTCGAATCACCTTAACAGGAAATCTGACAGACCACAGAGTCGAGACTGTCTAGACAGGCTAACGATGGAACCGGCCAAAAAAGACCGATGGAACAGCCAAATCGGTTTCTCGAAACTTCGAAACGATTACATAAGAGGTAGCGGCAAAGAGACCTATTCTGCCCTGCTAAGGAAAAACGCCGTATGAAACTTCAGGCGTTGCCAAATTTCCTTTCATAAAACGCGAATTTTCTGGTAAACTTATTAACATTTCCCTCCCAATTTTTCAGATAATTTTGTTCACAATCTCACCTAAAGATACTGAAAATTTTGAGGGAAAACATCGATAACTTTTCTCAAAAATAAACATTTTATCGAAGGAAATTTGGCAACTCTCGAATGTTCATCCTCAGTACGGCAGTATTGGTCTCCCGTCCGGGGAAATTCCTCTGAAACTCTGAAACGAAAATGGTAGGAGAAGGGCTGGGCGAACACACACACACACACATGTCGCTACAGCAAAAGTCCCAATGGGTTCAGACCGTCCGAGTACACGTGCGGACACCCCCCCCCTCCCCCACCTCTCTCACTCTCTCTTTTCCAACGACGCCCAGCCTTCAGCATTTTCTTTTGCCAGTTGTCTGTCTAATCTAGTTCAGAGATCGCTTCCCTCTTGCGCGCACCAGCCGTTCGGTGGCAAGTAGCCTCCCTTAAAATCTTAAATCCGGGAATCTAACTCAACGAATTCTCGATCTGATCAGTTTACCCGTGTATTAAAGTCCAGTCTACACCGTGCAGTTTGTGGTTTTGTGGACTTTCAGGAGCGTGTCCGAAGGCTCAGTTCGCGTTCGTGAAATTCATTAGTGACTCCACTGGTGCTTTTACTCTCGCCTAATCGTGAAAATTTAGCAGCTTTAGCGATACCTAGTTCAGAGTGAGTCTGTCTAAATTCATTTTTCTATGAACAGTTGGATTGTCGGACAGTTGGATTGTGTTTTTTTTTTTTATTTTGTCCTCTTAAAATGGGTCTTTAATATTCTACTCACTTCTTTATTTTTTTCTCCAAGTTTTCACTCTATGCATTTTGCAATGTTGAAAATAATCATATTAGGGTGTGACATAATTTAAATGCTTAAATTGGGCATCAGCCAAGGCTTAAATTATTATTTCAATTAGAAACAAGTGCCTAAGTTTCTATCCGAAAAGAACCGTTCTGGGGGTGAGCAGTCAAATTTTGCTGATTTGCTATTCGAGGACAAAAGATAGTGGGCGGGAAGGTTTTTGTTTTTTTTTTTAATTTTTCGCATTCCGGAGAGGAAATATAGGTATGGGAGAAGTATCCTCTGAGTAAGATGAAAATGCATTTCTTCACTTGTTTTTGCATCTCAAAAATCACTATCATGATTTACGAGTACCTGGTTGCTATTTTTGTCTAAGACGATTTCTAATATGAATCACAGCGATTTTTTTGATCGACAAAAATTCCACCAGATACCTCCTTCTGCGCACTCTGCATGGTTTCTCATGTTATTTAAATTATGAACCAAAGAAGCTCCTTATATAATTCACAAACTTATCCTCGCCCTTCCCCAAAATGTGACTCCCTATTTTAACTGTAAGTCGTAAGTCTCATCTCTTTGATACATTTCGATTATTATTTTTTCTTTTTGATTTATGTTTCAGATTTCCCAGCTTCACATCTTGTCTGTTATGAGCTTACGCGTCGTTGAAGGTATGTGGTCGTATTTTTTGAATAGACTTATTTTTAGATTTATTTTTTGGACGTTTAGAAAATTCAGCTTCTCTCCCATTCTATTGAAGTTCCAATGATGCATATTTTCAATTTTTTTCTTCCACAGCACTCAGTCTTCCATCAGGAATATCGTTATCAACCTCATTCAAATTTGCTGATTTAAGGTGATTCGATGGACGCCATATTTTGTGTCAGAACGGCATGCGATTTATCGCATCAATTGGTTCCATTTTTTCAGCTACTCGTCATTTTTCTCCAATTTTGCGATCGCAATTCTGTTGTCAGGAGACTAAAGCACTCGCTCACCAATTTTAACAAAGAAATTCAACGTAATAAAGGCGTGGTCTTTTTAGAGAGAAAACATCGCATTCGATACTGATATCGAAACTGCACTCGAATGCGATATTTTCTCTCTAAAAAAACCATGCCTTTATTACGTTGAATTTCTTTGTAAAAATTGGTGAGTGAGTGCTTTAGTCTCCTGACAACAGAATTGCGATCTCGAAATTGGAGAAAAATGACGAGTAGCTGAAAAATGGAACCAATTGATACGATATATCGTATGCCGTTCTGACACAATATATGGTGTCCATCGAATCACCTTAATTTCCCATGTTATTTACTCATTTTTCTCGAATTTACAGTTTTTCCAAAAAAAATTTCATTTTCCTAATTTTTTCAATTCTCTCTGGAAAATTATTTTCTCTTCCTGCCTCATTTTTCACGTGGCATTTGCAGAGAATCTAAATTCTTGTATTTACTGGCCAGTTACGGTGATTCGATGGACGCCATTTTTTGTGTCAGAGCGACGTGCGATACATCGCATCGATTTCTGTCATAATTTCAGCTACTCGTCACTTTTTTCGAATTTTGAGATCGCACTTCTGTTGCCATGAGACTGAAGAATTCATGTACCTTTGACAAAGAAATTCAACGTAATACAGGCGTGGTTTTTTCAGAGGAAAAATATCGCATTCGATACTGATATCGAAACTGTACTCGGATGCAATATTTCTCCTCTGAAAAAACCACGCCTGTATTACGTTGAATTTCTTTGTCAAAGGTACATGAATTCTTCAGTCTCATGGCAACAGAAGTGCGATCTCAAAATTCGAAAAAAATGACGAGTAGCCGAAATTATGGAACAAATCGATACGATGTATCGCACGTCGCTCTGACACAAAAAATGGCGTCCATCGAATCACCTTAATCTTCCTCATCTCCGTCAATTTGACCTGTTTCTCACGAAGGAAAAAATCACAGATGTCTTTAAGAATTTATTTCAAGTAGCATTTCACCGAAAAAATAAATATTGACAAGAAATCTGCAACGTCGCCAACCGAACTACGAGGTTTGGGGGTTTCGCCGTTAATATAAGAGCTAATACTCCATTAAATAAAATGTTCGTCCCTTGCCCCTTCATCGGCTTCAATGAAACCGTTGGGTGAATGAAGCATGCAACTTATCGAGCTTCTGCGTGTGCGGTGGTATCTTTCGAAATTGAAGGGACTCTCATTCGTGTGAGCTGATCGTCGCCGCAGTGGATCGAGTCTGTAGGAGAGGTCGGACACAACTTGAAAACTTTAAACGCTTATAACTCCGTTTGTAATACAAACTTTTGAGGGTCTAAAAATGATTCAATTGGTTTTCTCGTAAATTTTTTTATAATAACAGTCTTTAAAATTTAAAATGTGACGAAATAAACATCAACACGGAAAAAAATTAAAGCATTTAGCATTTAGCATTTTAATTTTTTAAAAAAAGCCCGTCAAGTTTCAAATGCTGATTTTGCAATACAAAAATGGTAACACAGCAGTTGAATTTGTTCATTTTACAGTGGGCGTGGTTATGTTAGCATTTCTCCAAATGTAAAATCAGCATTTGAAACTTGTCGGACATGTTTTTAACAATATCAATGCTAAATCAACATTTAATTTTTTCCGTGAAAATTTGCAGTTTTTGTCAACCATTTCATGTCCAACCTCGTTAATTGACTGGATCCACTGTGCGCCGCGTCTCGCTGAATGTCTCTGCCTGTCTCTGTCGGTAGTCACGATAGCCGGACTTAACTTTTCATCTGACTTCTCCCGCAAATTTTAATCGGTCACTGTAGAATAGGTTTAGCTTGAAGCACTTTTGCACCCGTTTCCTACAAGGGGGAGGGGATACATTATTCTGCCAAAATGGCTTATACTTAATTTTTGGACGGTCCCTCTTTTCAAGCAGGGAAAAACGCGTATGGAAGTATCGACGCAATGAGAGCGAATTTTTCCCCGCTTACTTAGAGACTTCAAGGCAGGAGTTCAAAAGTTGGATGGGGCGAAGTGCGTAATGCAACTATTTCGACTTTAAAGATGATAAAATTACATATCGAAAAAAGAGGGGCTCTTTTCGGCCGAATTACAATCGGTGACATTAACGCAGGAGTAGAAAAGTTGGATAGGGCAAAACGCGCATTATAACTAGGGGGCCGTTCAAGTATTATACAGTAGGGGGCTATGCCCCCTGGCCGCTTCGCAGCCCTATTTTAACCCTCTTATCATTGTTTGTTTTATTTTTTTCCTGAAACATTAAGATATGAGGTTTACTTTACTTTTAGAATGAAATGATTTTTGTTTTTGATTAACAAAGGGAAAAAAAACATTTTGAAGTCGAAAGGACGCGTTTTGCAAGGACTGATTAATAAAACATTGCAGTAAAACGACGAATAATGATAGTCAGGTCTTAAGATGATTCGATGGACGCCATATTTCGTGTCAGAACGGCATGTGATGTATCGCATCAATTGGTCCCTTTTTACAGCTACTTGTCATTTTTCTCCAATTTTGAGATCGCACTTCTGTTGCCATGAGACTGAAGAACTCGTGTACCTTTGACAAAGAAATTCAACGTACATATAATACAGGTGTGGTTTTTTTAGAGGAAAAATATCGCATTCGATACTGATATCGAAACTGCACTCGAATGCGCGATATTTTCTCTCTAAAAAAACCACGCCTTTATTACGTTAAATTTCTTTGTTAAAATTGGTGAGCGAGTGCTGTAGTCTCCTGACAACAGAATTGCGATCTCAAAATTCGAGAAAAATGACGAGTAGCTTAAGAAATGTAACCAATTGATGCGATTTATTGCATGCCGTTCGGACACAAAATATGGCGTCCATCGAATCACCTTAAGTAGGTAGCTGAGGAGTCCGGAATCGAACCTACACTTTGACACGTGCAGGCGCTTTAGACGTTTTGGACGACTCGGCCACCGCTCATCTTTTACAGTGACAGGGGCGAATCTTGTGTTGATAAGTAGAGCTGTTGCGCAGGCTACTCAGCCACTGCGCAGCCTCCTCGGCCACTGCACAACCTTTTGCGCAGGTTGCGGAGCATTCTGTACGTTTGCTCACTCTTATAACTTGATTGTAAAAAAACCTATGTCCTATTTCTAAAATCTGTTAAGAGCGGGCTCATTTAGGGCCTATCACCTGTCGATGACCGCAAAAATCATGGAAATCGGCCCGGTAGAACGCTCAAACGAACTAAGACATAAAACATAAATTCACATTGTTTAAATGGGAAAATTCACAACTTTACCACATATTATAAGTAAACCTGGATCATATTTTGAAAATCTGAATAAAGCGGGCTCATCTAGGGACAATTGCCCGTCAGTAGCCGCAAAAATCATGAAAATCGGTCCGGTAGAACGCTGAAACTAAGCGTTACCAGTTACGCAAAATTAGGAGGTCTCGGAGCTTATAGTATAAAATAAAAGAAGAGAGAAGAAGAAGATGATATACTTAGGAGGGAGGGGTTCCGAGCTTGTCTTACGGAGTCTTACGAAGGGAGAAGGGGGGGATCAAGCCGAGTCTTGCGTAAGCTTTCCGCTGTAAAGAAAAGAAAAAAGTACCGAATTTTCTTGGAAAAAACCCTTGAAAGTCCCCAATTTTGGTTTTTTATAATTGGTAACACGCTGTCAAATAAATTTCAGTGATTTGCTTCTTTTTTTCAAATGGTGACCCCTCCTTTGTGATACATTATTAGAAGGGACATTAAAAATTAAGAATTTTGGCGCAAACTGTAGATCAATATCTTGATTTTTGACCGAGTTATGATATTTCAAAGGTGAAATTAGACCTATTTTCAAAAAATCATAACTCCGGTTCAAACAATCGTAAAGGAAAAAATAAAACGGAGAAAATTTACAAATTGTGAGCACTTTTATATAAAAATCGTAGAAATCACTTCAAACTAATGTTAAGGGGGGGGGGGTTCGGATCCCCAAATATGTCAGTTCTAAGGTCATACGACCCGCAAAATGAGCCAATTTCCCCAAACTTTGCCTCAAAATTATCTCAGTGAGTTCAAAACTAGTTCAACATTACGTTTTCAAGTCCTCGTAATTCGAGAAAAGTTTTAAAAAAAACGAAATTTAAACGGTCAAATTTAAGCACAATAAATTTCGTTTTTTGTTTGTTTGTTTGTTTGTTTGTTTGTTTGTTTTAAATTAAAGTTTCGTTTTTCTATCTCTAGCCGTTCATAAGTTAGAGAGGAGGGAGCGGGACTCTTAGAACACCCTGTGTATCTATGACAATTTAATGTTGGATTTATCTATTAATGCATTCATTTCTTTTTTCTTTTGCAGTCAATATTTTTTGGTCCCTCCATCATCGTTGAGGCGGTGCACAAAGACGAGACATTTTCGCTTTGCAAGAGATGTTCCTGAATTACGGGTCTTCGCTTCATCACGGTTCTTCGCTTCACCACGGGTCTTCATTTCATCACGGTTCTTCGCTTCATCACGGTTCTTCGCTTCATCACGGGTCTTCGCTTCATCACGGTAAAATCTCTCCAACTCCTTCCTGCTATCAGAATTAATTGCGGACGACTCGACCATTTGTCTATATTCTCTCAATTTTCAAAGTGAGCTATTGCAGTATTCTTCCTCTCCGCTGACAGTGGCCGTCACCATTTAGGCGGTATTTAGTAATCTGTCAAACTTCACATACTAAAACCACAATTTCGAAATAGGCTGTTGGAGCTCCTGGAGAAATAATCGCGATTTCATAGATTTTTTAACCTTAAAAAAGGCTCATGTAGGCAATTGAAGTCTCCCCTGCCCCGTTTCCTTTTGGATTCATCTGAATTTTTAGTATGTTATTCACCGAGGAACGACTTTCCTGAAATTTCCATGACCGAGAAGATTTTTTGCTCCCCTGCAATGTTGCGAGAGGATTCAAACTTCAAAATTATGGATTTTGCGAAAGAATTGTGACATTGGTCCCCATCCCTCTTGGATCTATCTGAATTTTCAGTATGTTATTCACCGGTATGAGGTACGATTTTCCTGAAATTTTTATGACCGAGAAAATTCTTTTGCTTCCCTTGCCACGTTGCAAAGTTTCAAACATGAAAATTTTGGGTTTGACGGTAACGCAATGGCATGGGTCCACTTCTCAGTGAATTGATCTGAATTTATAGTATGTTGTTTTTCCGTATAAGATGCGACTTATCTGAAATTTTCAAAATAGCGAAAATTTTTTTACTTCCATCCCGACGTTGCCAAGTTTTAAACTTCTAAATTATGGATTTGACCTTAAAATGATGACGTTCGGGCGGGATATCTTGCAAAATTGTCTTTGTTTGTAAGTAATTTTATTGAATATTTTTATAATTTGTCCATTCGATTCCGTAAGATTGCCTTGTTTTCATTTTACTAATTTTTTTCCGGATGAATATACTTCATCTTGCTGCAACTGCAAATGCTGGTTTTTGCATTCGCTTTGGTAGCGTCCATTCAAATATAATATGATACGCTATCAGTTGTACATACTCACTCGGAAGACTAAGTTTAACTTCTCTGGTATTCTCAGAAAGGTGTATGATACAGGTCCATTTTCTCCCATCAAAAATTTTTTGTGAATGAAGCGTCCTGAATTCGGGCTCTCCGATCCCTCTGCGGACAGCAAATTCTTTGTTTTTTTCTTCTTCTTTTTTTAGTAAAATATCTAAATATCGTTGAAGAGGGTGGCTTTAGTTTTTCCCTTAAAAATAGATTTCTGGGGTTTTTCTCATGGTGAAGCGTCCTGGATCCGGGCCATCCGATCCCGCTGCGGACGGAGGACGAGTCCCGGACCTTCAATTCTTTGTTTTTTTTTCTTCTTTTTCTTAAGTAAAATATCTTAATATCCTTGGAAAGGGTGGTTTTAGTTTTTCCCTTAAGAATAGGTTTCTGGGGTTTTTCTCATGGTGAGAAGTCCTGGATCCGGGCCATCCGATCCCGCTGCGGACGGAGGACGAGTCCCGGACCTTCAATTCTTTGTTTTTTTTTCTTCTTTTTTTTTAAGTAAAATATCTAAATATCCTTGGAAAGGGTGGTTTTAGTTTTTCCCTTAAGAATAGGTTTCTGGGGTTTTTCTCATGGTGAGAAGTCCTGGATCCGGGCCATCCGATCCCGCTGCGGACGGAGGACGAGTCCCGGACCTTCAATTCTTTGTTTTTTCTTCTTCGTTTTCTTAAGTAAAATATCTAAATATCCTTGGAAAGGGTGGTTTTAGTTTTTCCCTTAAGAATAGGTTTCTGGGGTTTTTCTCATGGTGAGAAGTCCTGGATCCGGGCCATCCGATCCCGCTGCGGACGGAGGACGAGTCCCGGACCTTCAATTCTTTGTTTTTTTTTCTTCTTTTTTTTAAGTAAAATATCTAAATATCCTTGGAAAGGGTGGTTTTAGTTTTTCCCTTAAGAATAGGTTTCTGGGGTTTTTCTCATGGTGAGAAGTCCTGGATCCGGGCCATCCGATCCTGCTGCGGACGGAGGACGAGTCCCGGACCTTCAATTCTTTGTTTTTTTTTCTTCTTTTGTTTAAAGTAAAATATCTGAATATCCTTGGAAAGGGTGGTTTTAGTTTTTCCCTTAAGAATAGATTTCTGGGGTTTTTCTCATGGTGAAGAGTCCTGGATCCAGGCCATCCCATCCCGCTGCGAACGGAGGACGAGTCCCGGACTCTCAATGTGGTTTATTTTTTGACAGAATGAGGCAGATTTTGCCATTCTCTCTTATTCATTATGGAAGAAATAATTTTTCGTTTTCACTTTTCCGAAGCATAGCCGGCTTCAAAATTGATTCCATCTTAATTTTCTTATAAAAGTTTAAATTTGTAAAAGTAAGAAATTAGAATAGGTACAAATTTTCTTTTCTTTTTCTTTTTTTTTCATTATGGAGAACCAGAGGTGTTTTATTACTGAATGTCTTGTTCTTTTTTACTTATAACTAATATTTTATATAATTTATAACTAAATCATAAGTATAAATAAAGACAATTTTGCAAGATATCCCGCCTGAACGCCATCATTTTATGGTCAAATCCAGAATTTTGAAGTTTAAAACTTGGCAACGTCGAAACGGAAGTAAAAAAATGTTCCTGATTATGAAAATTTCAGATAAGTCGCACCCTATACGGCAGAACAACATACTATAAATTCAGATCAATTCACTGAGAAATGGACTCATGCCATTGAGTTACCTCCAAACCCAAAATTTTCATGTTTGAAATTTTGCAACGTGGCAAGGGAAGCAAAAGAATTTTCTCGATCATGAAAATTTCAGGAAAGTTGTACCTCATACCGGTGAATAACATACTAAAAATTCAGATAAATCCAAGAGGGAGGGGGGCCAATGTCACAATTTTTTCGTAAAATCCATAATTTTGAAGTTTGAATCCCCTCGCAACATTGCAAGGGGAGCAACAAATCTTCTCGGCCATGAAAATCCCAGGAAAGTCGGATCTCATACTGATGAGTAACATGCTTAAAATTCAGATCAATCCAAGAAAAATGGGGCAGGAAAGACTAAGTTGCAGCAAGATGAAGTATATTCATCCGGAAAAAAATTAGTAAAATGGCAACAAGGCAATCTTACGGAATCGAATGGACAAATTATAAAAATATTCAATAAAATTACTTACAAACAAAGACAATTTTGCAAGATATCCCGCCCGAACGTCATCATTTTAAGGTCAAATCCATAATTTAGAAGTTTAAAACTTGGCAACGTCGGGATGGAAGTAAAAAAATTTTCGTTATTTTGAAAATTTCAGATAAGTCGCATCTTATACGGAAAAACAACATACTATAAATTCAGATCAATTCACTGAGAAGTGGACCCATGCCATTGCGTTACCTCCAAACCCAAAATTTTCATGTTTGAAACTTTGCAACGTGGCAAGGGAAGCAAAAGAATTTTCTCGATCATGAAAATTTCAGGAAAGTTGTACCTCATATCGGTGAATAACATACTAAAAATTCAGATAAATCCAAGAGGGAGGGGGGCCAATGTCACAATTTTTTCGTAAAATCCATAATTTTGAAGTTTGAATCCCCTCGCAACATTGCAAGGGGAGCAAAAAATCTTCTCGGCCATGAAAATCTCAGGAAAGTCGGATCTCATACTGATGAGTAACATGCTTAAAATTCAGATCAATCCAAGAAAAATGGGGCAGGAAAGACTAAGTTGTCTTACATGAGCCTTTTTCCACAAAAAAAAAGCATAAAATATCCATAAAATCGCGATTATGTCTTTCGGAGGTCCTACAACCTATTTCGAAATTGTGGTTTTTAGTAACTGGTGGTACTCCTCTTGACATTCCAGATCAAATTTTTCGTTCGGGACCAACTTCAATTTAAACCCCGTTTAGGAGCATCGTGCTGGGTTCTGCCGCACTCACCGTCACACGAATGGAAGCATAGCCGGGCTCTTCTCACAATGAATATATTTTCTTTTGATTCAAATATGTCCACCCATGAACGAGTCCGAGAAAAATTATAAATACCTTCCTCAAGATGATTTGTCAAGCTCAAGTGAGGTGGTCGCACTAGCATGCAATATATCGCATCGATTAGGTATAAAATCTCGGCAGATTTCAAATTTTTAGCAAAAAAAAAAAAGGACGATACCCCCTGCCCATGAGCCTAAAGAATCATTCTGCACCCAAAAATTGGCAAAATTCAGAGAAATGAAAGCAGAATAGTGTTTGGGAAAAAAAAACTCGCATTCGATTCAGATATCGATTTTTGTATCGAATGCGAGGTTTTTTTCCTAACAGTATTCTGCCTCCATTTCTCTAAATTTTGCCACTTTTTGGGTGAAGAATGATTCTTTAGGCTCATGCACAGGGGCTATCGTCCTTTTTTTTTGCTAATAATTTTAAAATCTTCCAAGATTTTTTACCTAATCGATACGATATATCGCATGCCAGTTCGACCACGTCACTTGAGCTTGGCGAATCACCTTAAAACAAAGTCGACCGATTTCCCGCAATGGCGGCAAAAGAAAAGGACAAGTTCAAATGTACTCAGTATCACCAAACAGGGTCACTTAAATTTCATCGATGAAAAACTGTGTCGGTTAGTGTACCCTCCTTTCAGGGTATTTTTTGAAGTTGGAAAAGTTAAAATTAAGACCGCGTAATTATTAAGAGAACGCAAACTTAAAAAAGATGAATGAATAGCAATGTACAAGTGCCTTTCAAAAACTGATTAAATTGACCCCTTTTAAGTAAAGGGCATGGAGGACACTTGAGAAAAGTGATGTTTTTACTATTTCAAGAAATACGTGTTTATTGTTCAAAATTACTTGGAGCTTTGTGCCGAAAAGAGAGTTCAAACTCATTTTTATATGCTTACTAGGGGGCCCTGCCCCCTGACCGCTACGCGGCCCAACCCCCGGGAGGGCGCCTCGCGCCCTCAGGCCCGCTTCGCGGGCCCTATATGCATATGTATAGGCAAAAATGTTCTTCCATTTTAATACACCATTTTGTGTTCGAGCTGCATCGATTTCAAAATTTTTGACGTAACACTCAGATTTGTAAATGATGAGGAATAGCTGGATGTACACAATTTCACAGTCCACTTACTGGAGAAATTTCCGTTTATTATGTTATTTTTAAATACTTAATTTTAAAAAAAAAAATCGGATTTCGACCGTTAAGAGTTAATAATATTTGGTCCGTCCCGACGCGACGCAGCGCCTGCCTTCTCACTTTGTATCTGCTGTTTATCTGCTGTAAATATTAATAGAACTTCAGCAATCAAGTAAATTGACCAATGCCACAAATCGAAGCCGGAAGAATGCAGGAAAAATTGAGTTAAACCTTATACCTTGGACCTTGGACCTTGAACCTTGAAACCTGAGCGATACACCGTTCCTCAACTCTTC